GACATAGTCCAGTGGTATGTAAACTCAGGCAGAACTTTTAGAAGCAAAGAGTCCCTTTTACCTATAGCTACAGTTGGCAACCATAATATAATCAAGGCTTGGCAAGGGTCAAGGCCAGAAATCAAATAAAAAACCACAAATCCAAGGGAAAAGTCAAGAGACACAATGAGGTAGAAACCCATATTCAAAGCACATTATGACAGGGTAAACATGATGGGGTGATCAAGCTCTACCTGTTTTTATGCAACATACACAAAGAGGGGTGGAGCTTCAATTGCACCATCTCAGCCATGATCTTGATTTTTTTGATCATACTCATGGAACACCCCTAGAAATATATAGAAAGCACTGGAGCCAGCTATAAGGGGGACATACGCAAGGGGAAAATACAGAAGTTTAGCCTGGAACAATGACCAGGAAAAAAAAAAGGGGGGGGGGGAGGAAAGAAACAGCTCAAAGAAACAAAGGGGGAAAAAAGGATTAATGAAAGTAAGGAAGAAGTAAAAGTGAGAAAGGACAAAGATTTCCCCTGTAACACTCTTCCTAGCTAGGATTTCATTTCCTAACAGGGAGGAAGGACAGTTTGGGGAGTACAAAAGAATCCAGAGTCTTGTCAGCAGAGAGAGAAGCTAAAGCCCTCACCAGCAAGGAAATCACCCACTGAATCAACAGCTGTTGCAGCAGTATGATCAATAGTGATTATGTTGAGGCATGGAGTTTACAACTTTGGGGATTTTTTTTTTTCTACCTACAGATTTTTAAATAAAAATTCATTAGGAAAAAATATAATCTAAAAGGACCAGAAAATAACTGTGGTGCTGTGACTGTTCATGACATTGTTATTATTGTTAGCTAGGTATTGATTGCTTGATTGCTTGACTGATTGCTTGATTATGTGCCATCAAGTCAGTGCTGACTTTTTGCAACCACATAGACCTTTTCCAGGATTATCTATTGCCAACTTGACCCTTCAGGTCTCACAGTGATATATACTTTGCCACTGTAATTGAGACCATCCACCTTGCTGCTGGGTGTTCTCTTCTCTTTCCACTCCCAGAATTTTGGGCTTTTCAAGACAGCTGAGTCTTCACATAATTGGTCTAAAATATGATAATTTGATTTGTAGCTATTATTTTCAATGGATTATAGTTCCTCTGAGAAAGAAACTTTTTACATTTCTTCCCAATGGGTTTTGCTGCAGATCAGGCTAAGAAGGGAATACTGCTGTTTTAGGTTACTTTGGGAAGTAAAAAAAAAACAGCCAGAGATTGACTGGCTGAGTGAGTGAGTGAGTGAGTGAGTGAGTGAGTGCCATCAAGTCAGTGTTGACTTTTTGCAACCCTTCTCCAGAGTTATCTATTCTCACCTTGACTCTTCAGATCTCCCAGTGATATAGTATATCCATTGCTCCTGTAATGCCTGCTTTCTGGTGCCGTTTCTCTTCTGGAACCTGGTAGACTTAACAAAAAGTAAAGGAAGTGGCTAAAAATAATTATATCATTTTCTCTAATGCTTGTAGAATGACACTGGAGACCTTTTCAAAATTTATATATCAGCTAGAGGTCGCCACCTGAAATTACATATTATGCACTATATATTATTTTTAATAGTTGGTAGACACTGAACTTAATAATATCATGGAGAATAAACTATTCCTTTGCTATAGAAGATTTCTATGATAAATCCTTGCTAAATCTATTGATAGGGATGGACTTGCTATTTGCCTTATCCACTTGTGGTGGCAAGTTAATTTCATCTTTATAGCTCTGTCTAAGCATATTCTTCTCTGTGTTGTTCCAGCTGTAGTGTAGATGCCGAAACAAACATAATGTAAGCATATGACACTACTGGCTTATATGTTGTACCAGAATCTGATTCATTTCCACAGCAAACAAATGCTGCCTTCTTTCATAGTGTGAAAGAACAAAATAGCGCCTAAGTATCATGAGAAAATAGGGCCCTTGATCTAAAAAAAGAAGTGATAGCATTAAAGTTGATTTATGCTCACTTAAGCATAGTGATGTTCTAAGTCCTTTAAAAAAATCCTTCTTTCAACCACTTATGGGGTACATATTTTCCTAAATGTATGTTCACAACCTACTATTCTCTTCTGCATCTCAGAATGTATAATAATAATAATAATAATAATAATAATAATAATAATAATAATATAATTTAATAACAATAAAATAACAACAACAAAGCATGCAAGCCCCACAACCACATCCAAGTAGTGCCTCACTGGGAGTTAATAATAATGCAGTAATAAACATAATAGCCTTCATTATGACAGTGACCAACTTAGTTACATTTCCATGACTAAATAAATAAGTAAAGAAAAAAAAAGGTTTAAATGTTTCTAAGCAAATTGCTCAGAATAAGAAAAAGTGGCCTTACAATGGTGGAAATACTAGAATATGGAGAAGATCTAATATATTGAACACGCTAAAAATTCAACATTGTTTTCTGTCGATCAGGCTAAGATGGTTAGGCCTGATAGATATTTGAATGAGAGATCCTCAGGGAATACATTTGCTTAAGGCTGTTTTGGGAAGTAAAAAATCAGTCAAAGGATAAGTGACAAATAGCTTCTGCAGAAAAAATACATGGACATGTTCATAAAGTCTCCAGGAATCAAAGAAACTATTGCCTTTGCCCTACATTGAAAAGGGCTTTTAAAAAAGGGAAGGGGAGGGAGTATGCTAACAATTAACTTAAAAATCAATTACTGCAATTTTGCAAGTGAAGTGGCTAAAGTTTATACTTTCTGTAATGCTGTAGAATGATACTGGAGATCTTTTCAGAATTTAGTTATCAGCTAGACATAGCCACCTGAAGTTTCATAAATATATATATATATATATATATATATATAGAGAGAGAGAGAGAGAGAGAGAGAGAGAGAGAGAGAGAGAGAGAGAGAGAGA